CTGGCAGCGTCCTGCAGAGGAGCGTCGCGGCTCCGGGGAACCAGCCGCAGCCGCAGGTAGTGAACTAGAGGGCTCAGGGAGGACCACAGGGATGCGGGGATCGGGCGCCGGGGGCACGAGGAGGTGGGTACTGGGGTTCCGGGGTGCTGGCCGCTGAACGCGGGAGCGGGGGCACGAGGGGGGTCCCAGGGCGCGCGCATGGTACCCGCGGCGTCCGGGTCGGTGACCAGGCTCCTTCCCGCGCCCGAGGAGGAGGAGGTGAGACCCGCGGGCGCCGACGCCTGGCTGGGTAGCGCCGTCCGCAGCCCCTTGCACGTGTGGCCCGCGCTGCCCGGGCTGCCACGCCGTGCGCTCCCCGCTGCTGCTTCCACCCCACCGCTGGCTCGCACGGCCCTTCCCCGGACCTAGGAGTGGAGACCAGGGCGCGGAGAGGGGACATTCAGCCCAAAGTGGCAACTACTTCGTGCCGGGGCACTACCAACATCTACCCCGCTCCGGCTGCCGCCAGAATGGGGAACTCGGACCGATCAGCCTGGGGGCGCGGGGTGGGGGCCTGCACTGGGTGGACTCTACACCACGCGCTGGTGGAAACCCCTCTCCCGAATCCGGTCCTCTGCGCTGTCCCCCCAACATTTACAACTGCGTACTCAGGACACTCGAGACAAGGTCGCCATGGGGACTTGCTGGAGGAGACTCCCCACTCAGCTGCTGTAGGACGAGTCTTTTCATCGTTATGTCCCCCATCTCACGTCGGTGCCTGGCACATAGTGTCATGGGGGGATGCTAGAGAGTCGCACAGATCTGAGTTTGGACCTCGGGCAGCTTGCTTAACCTCTCCGAGCCTGCGTTTCCCCACTTGTAAAATGAACACGTATAATATCAACCTCTCATGATTTTTGTGAGGACTCATCGAGACATGGTTAATAATATATGAATATCTCAACACTTTGCTCCCCTCTTCCTGTCTTGATAAATGTTTCTGCTGAACTGTCAGGCGTGACCATATGATACGGGATAATCCAGTTTAGAGTGTGGGCTCCCAGAGGGGAGGCTGCAGGCGGCTTCACTGTCCTCCATGACTTTCTGATTATGAAGAGCAAAGAAGCATGATTTGGATACAAGCACAATGGGAGACTCGATATAAAAGAGCAGCGACCTCAACAGAGGTTATTGAGGGCATACTGTGTGCTGGGAGCTTTAAGGTAAAATCTCATTTTATCTCATGCCAGCTCCAAGCATTAGGCTGCAGAGAGCACTGACCGTTTGTTGCAGGAATGTATCTCCAATGCCTAGGACAGTGCCTGGCACATGGCAGGTACTGAGTTAACACTACTGAAAGAATGAATGAATCACACCTACAATAAATGAGAAAACCAGGAATTCAGAAAATAAGGTCCTCGAGGCCATTTTGACAGTAGGAGACAAAACCAAGAGTTGTGTATTTCTAAAGCTAAAAGTTCATCTTCTGTACCACATTTTCCTCCTGTGATGTGTTCTGTTTCTGTTTACCAAGACTTAAAAGACTACATTTGAATACCTTGTGTCTGTTCCCTTAAGCACGGTCTCAAGCCCTCTTCTATTTACTATGCTATTTATGCATATGCCATTTATTCTTCTCCTTTTATAGACTTACATTCTGGCATATGCTGAAAAGCCTTTACCCGCAGTAACTTGGGGAGATCGTATGTGTCTCTCTTATTTGGAAAACAAGACCAGATAAAATGATACCCGGAAAAATCCATTATTTTATGTTATCAGTATTTGCTTTCAGTTAACATTAATAATTAAGTAACGTTCCTATGTTTGTATCTCACTAACTTCTTGGCTTTTGAACTCTTTAGAGGTAGTGTTGTCCCCACCCCGTCCCCTCGGTATCTTCTCACAGGTTCTGGGAAGCAAATGCTGCTCTCCTCTCCATGTTTTCCGTAACTGAATGAAATGTTTTTTTTATCATGGCAGATGCATTTTTCTGCCTGTCTGTTTCAGGATAGCTTTCGGAGAATTTGAATACGTTTGATTACATCTCCTATATCTAAGAGCTTTCAAGACACATCATAAATTTGCTTTCTGATGTGTTCTGAACTGTGAAACAAAATGTCAGTCGATCGTGGTTCCAATGAGCATATTGTCGGTGGTGTTTAAGATCCTTTGGTGTGCTGGTAGAGCTATGTGGTTGCAGTGAGCCGTAAGTGTAGTCATGATTTGCACACAGTATCAAAAGTACCTGTTTGTGCATGGTGGTATAAGGCCTGGCACACAGCGAGTTCCAGATAGCGGATGCCTTCTGCCTTTTCCATTCTCAAATGAACAGCACTGACACCACAGCCCTTCCAGGCACACGCCCTGTGGGGTAGAGGTTTATGAATGTTGGTTTGAAGTCCAACAGACCTGAGTTCCACTTCCCATTCACTCACTTACTAGCTGTAGTACCTGAAGCAAGTTCTTTAACCTCTCTGAGTTTCTTATTCCTCATATTTTAAATGGTGGTCACAACACACATTTCTCAGGGGGGTCGTGGGAATGAATAGCTAAGTGCAGTAGCACATGGGGAGTGATCCTTAAGGAGAGGCTAGTGTTACCCCCACTGATGTAGCAACAAGCACTCCTGTGACTGCAAGTAAAATGGTGAAGGCCATGAGCAATGCTGAGTAGAGAGAGATCAGACAAGGGTGAGGTGAGGGGCCGCCACATCGGTACTGACCACATGTTTTCCTCCAGAGCCCTGAGGATGATGACAGGAAGGTCCGAAGGAGAGAAAAAAACCGAGTGGCTGCTCAGAGAAGTCGGAAGAAGCAGACCCAGAAGGCTGACAAACTCCATGAGGTGAGACTGTGGTTGGGGCAGAGCCACATGAGAGCCACAGAGAGGAGCTGTCCTCTGTCCTTGCACTGTGGTGGTGGCCTGGGGGTCGCGTCCTGGTCATCACCAATTTGGCCACGCGCACGTCTAATTCTGCTGCATCGTTGCAGCCCAGTGATCTGATTCTTTGCTCACTGGCCTCTTAATTTCTCCTTCACCCAATGGTTGCATCTCGCACTCAAGTTTCTTTCATTACAAAACAAAATGAAACGAGCCTACTCTTGATCCAATTCCCTTTCAAGTTAGTGCCCATTTCTTTTCTTTCATTCCCTAAGTTCCCTGCTCCTTAAAGAGAGACCTGCTGTCTCCATGGCCTCGGTTCTCATTTATTCCTCAATCTTCTGTGATTTTGTTTCTGCCCCTCCCCCACCCAACACACACACACACACACACACACACACACACACTCACACAGACACACACACACAAACACATGCACACATACTTCCTACAGAAGCTGCTCCCACTGAGATGACTAGTGCCCTGGCATTGTCCGATCCAGGGACCTCTTTCTAGTGTCATCTTCTTTGACCTCTCTGGAACATTTGACACCACTGACCCTCCTCTTCTTAAACCTTCTTTTAAGGTCTGTAGCTTCTAAAAGACCACATTTCCTACTCCTGACGCTCTTAACCACTTTTTCTCTGTTTCTTTGTTAGATTTTCTACCTCTGTCTGCTTTCTTAAATGTCGTGGACCAGGGTTTCAGACTCTGCTCTTTTTAATTCTTACCATAGAAAATTTAATCTATAAATCTGTTCTTCCAACATAATTACTTCAGGCAAGTCTTCTGTCCTAGCCCTAACCTGGTATTGTCGGTGCTTACAAATGGGTCCGCTGCAGGCTTCTCAGGTGCAACATAGTTATAATAGAGGGTCCTGTTCACCCCGAGACTTCCTCTCCTCACTGTCTTCAATTTGTACTTAATAGAACTATCTTTCTCATCACCCAAATTAGGAACCTGGGTTTTATCCTAAACTCTTCCATTTTCCTTGACCCCTATGCATAATCCCACATCATCTCACAGCCAGGACATGGGAACCACTCTATATCAGGAACTGGCCTCAAAGCCATCCAAGGATCTGTCCAAGGATTGCCAACCATTCTGAGCTCACGCCTTTGCACAGCGTTGGTGTGAATCATTACAGCTTTTAATTTAACTCTCTCCCACCATGCTTTCTTGCCATCGTCTCGGCAAGGCCAGTCTGGGGGGCGTTGACAGCAGCGGAGACTCTGAGATGTTTGAGGAGGAATGACAACCTCTGAAAACCTTTTAACAATGAATAGAGAAGGGATTTAGAATGCACATACTCCAGGGAGAGGTGACCCACTGATCCGCACTCACGGCATGGCATAAGTTATAAGTGTCAGATTCTTTCCTGGAAGTAGGAAAGCTGGGCCCTAGAGAGAGACTAGGATCTTCAGACTAGGGCCAGGGAAGGTGCTTAGCCTTTATTCGTTCTGTGCAATTTCCACACAAGTGCTGCAATGCCCTGTGCCTCTTCTCTTCCTTTCCCCTTGCTCTTGAAGCAACCCTGGTTCTAGCTTCATGTTACCCAATGGTCCCTACAGTGCATGGCCCCATATTCAGACCACATGTGCCATCTGACAGCCAGGCCCCTTCCCCTTGAGAAATTTCCAGTCCAAGCCAGGTGCATTAAAAAAAACAAAAAAACAAAAAAACAAAACCCACAAAAGGACACCGAGTTTAAATCCTGAGTGGCTATGTGTATAGAGGTGACTGAATGATTTGAGTGAGATCTCTCATGGAGCAAGGTCAAGTAGATTCATTCTGCAAATATGTGTTGAGTACTACTGTGGGCAAGGCATTGTCACTGGGTCACAGAGAGAGGAAGAAGATCTCGTTCCTGTCCTTGGGAAGCATAGAAGTTCCCAAGGGAAGAATATTAGTTTTCTATGGCCGCTGTAACAAATTATGACAAATTTGGTGCCTTAAAACAACACAAATTTATTATCTTACAGTTTTGGAAATCAGGTATCTGAAATGGGCCTCACTGGGCTAAAACGAAGGTGTCAACAGGGCTGCATTCCTTCTAGAGGCTCTAGAGAAGAATCCGTTTCCTTGCCTTTTTCAGTTTCTAGAGGCTTCTGTGTTCCTTGGCTTGTGGTCCCCTTTTATCTTCAAAGCCAGCACTGGCCGGCGGAGTCTTTCTTATGCTGCGTGGCTCTGACACTTTGTCTGTAGTCACATCTCTTTCTCTGACTCTTGGCTCTTTCTTTCCCTTATAAGGATCTTCATGATTCCATTGGGTTCACCTGCATGATCCAGGGTAATCTCTCCATTTCAGATTCTTAATCATAGTGGCAAAGTCCCTTTTGCCATGTAAGGTACATGCCCATAGTTTCCAGAGATTGGATATAAACATCTTTGGGGGGCCATTATTCTGCCTATCACAGAAGGTAACAGAAATACACAGTCAGACAGTCTCTCTCAATGTCTGTCATCATTAGATTTGATGACCAAATGAACCAGATGCCTGGGAAACTTACGAGTGGTGCCACATTTACTCCTGCATGACCCCTCTGAGAGCCGTAGGTGGAGGGCCCTTCTCTGGGGTCCCTAGCCTGTTCTGCTCTTCATAGACAAGACCAGTTCTGCCTGATGCCCTTTCCAGAAGTGGGGCCGATCGATCTGAAACCCAGCCCCTCCATAGAAGAGCCTGCCCTTCTCTTTCTCTGTGGAACTAGAAGGATGGATCAGGACTATGCACCATGGCAGATCACCTCAGTAAGGCCAGTTTTGTTGAGAAACACAGTGTTGTGGAGGCCAGGACAGCGGCTCCATCTGCGTGCAGATTCCAAAGCTGGAGCCCACACCTTTACCGTCAGTAGCTATGCACAAGTGTCAAGAGGGTATGAGGGAGCAGGTGGCTGGCTCAGGAAGATGGAAATATCCAGTCCCTCTGTAGAAGAAGAGGCACGTCATCTCTGAACAGCAGGGCACCACGTGAATTGTCCCTCCCCTGTTACTCCCTCGCCTCCTTCCAGGGAGGATATCACAGTTCTGAGGATCTAGGTTCTTTTTGGCCAACACAGTAAAAACAATAGTAAACAATGTAAAGAAAAAAATGACTATTTTTAAACTTTGAAAAAACTACATATTGGGAGTGGATGTTAAAAACGTGGTGAAGAATAATTTTACTGTGCTCCAGTGCGTTGAGGGCAGAGCGCCTAGCACACAGCTGTGGGTCGTGGCAGAAAGACCCTCAGCCCCCCTGGGGCTCCCGGGCCACATCTGGGATGGAGAAAGTGAGAGAGGACACAGTGCATAGAAACCTTCTCCTCAAACCTGAATGAGGCCAGCTCGTGGGCAGACACCGAGGCAGAAAACATCGCCTGATAACCATGACCATCTGCTACTCCCTGAGGAGGTTTGAGTAAAGTCTCTATCCCATAAAGTCCTCTATCCCAGACTGCAGGGTAGCGTTGCTAAATATCTCAAAAGAACTCGAAATCTTTATTTGCCTTTCTCGAAGACCATGAAGGAATATTTAGAACAAGACTTGTGTAAAATTCCCACTTTTCTCCTGCCCACCTTACTCACTGACCCTAACTGTTCTCGAACCTCTCTCACCTCCTCCAGTTCCAGCTCATATAAGTCTTTCGGCCACCCCCTTTCTCTTCCAGTTCTCCATCTCCAAAGTGAGAGGACTGTCCATCAAAGCGGGGCCTCCTCAGAGGGCAGGGCAGTGGGAGAGCCCGAGCCAGCCGAACCAGGGAGAGGCCAGGCTCACCCCTCAGTCTGAGTTTCCCCCTCAGGGTAGTGGTTGCTGGAAATCGGACTGCAGTGATGAGCAGCAGTTGCTAATGTGTATCTGTGTGCCTCCGTGTTCTCTGTGGCTTCTCAAATCATCCCTTCAAGGCGCTTACACCTCTTATGGGGGTTTCAACCCCTATTCATCTCTGAACATGCAGCACACGCCTGAGTCCAGGTTCACACTGGGAACCCGAGTGAAGAGTCCAGCTCCCTAAGACAAGCCGAAAAACATTTCTCTCAGAAGTGGGTCAGACTGGTTAGAGCCAGGCACCCAAAGGTGTAAGACTGAGAAAGAATTTTGAGTCACAAAAGGAAGGCAGCGGTGCCATCCTTAGGAGCCCCAAATATCACAAACGGACAAATGTCTTGAGTAATACAGTTGTGGTATGTGTTGCCACGTTCTTTTCAGATATTGCACGTACTAAGAGAATGCTTCGTGTCGGTCCCTGCTTGGTTTAGAAACTGATGATGACACTAATTTTTACAGCCCTTAACAATGACACATTTTTCTGCTGGGAAGGGCATCAGCTTAAGGCTTAGGAATAGACTTGTTGTAAAATCCTGAGCTTACAGCCTTTTGCTGCTGGTAACCACCATGGGGAAATTTGGGCCCTGGCACTGCCAAGCAAAAGCAGAATTGCTGTCATTGCATGAGATTTGCAGTTGACCTTGAAGTCAGGGAGCGGGTCCCAAGTCTGCTTGGAAAAGTCACCGTGCCTCTCTGAGTTTCCGTTTTCTGTCTTCTGAGATGGGGTCTGTGTGTGGCTGAGTCCTCCTGGTGGCCTCTTCCTCCCCCTTATCTCCTTCCTGGCCTTAGTCATCATCTCTGGTCCCTGGTACCCACATTGTCTTTTTTCCCAGTCCTGATCCTTCCCTCTTCCTTCCCTGGACCCTAAATATCTCAGACAGCCCCTCACTTCCCAATCAACCTCTCATGGATGCTCAGACCAGGGTTTCTCGACCTTGACACTATTGACTTTGGGGGCCGTATAATGCCTTGTTGTGGGGGCTGTCCTGTGCACTGTAGGACATTAAGCAGCATCCCTAGCCTCTGCCCTCTAGATGCAGTAGCACCCGTTCCCCAGTTGTGACAACCCAAACTGCCTCCGGATACTCCAAATGTCCCCTGGGAAGTGCCCAAATCGCCCCAGTTGAGAACCGCTTGATTTCTGAGGCACGACTAGAATTTGCAGCGACTTCACCACCTCTAGGTTTGTGACGATGTCCTAGCAAACACCCAGGAAGGCAGCACAGTCACCTCAAACCCTACTGGGGCAAAGGATTCGAAACAGCAATCATTGAGCTAAACCCATCATCTCTTTGGCAGTAACGAAGAGTCTGATGTTCTTCGCTTATGTTTCTCGTGCATGAAGTCCGGGGAATCGGGGTGAAGTGAGCC